TATTATGAACCTGCAAGATGAAAACGAGAAATTTTGAGAAAGTCATTCATGATGTAACTAATGTTCTGTAAAGGAGAAATCCCCTATCAGACTTAGGTCGCATTGTAATACTGCCTGGATAAATTCCATTTTATTTTAAAGATATTAAACATGATGCATTATGCGAATCTATTGAACGTACGATATTTTTCTGTAATATCTGATTGCAGTTGCTTTTTATTTATCTCACTTGTACTCCGAGTGCGCGGTCGAAGGAAGTCTGTGTTCTACGTAGGAGTGACAGAGGGTGAGGCAGGTCGGGGTGACATGTGAAGGTGAATGAATAATGGGAGAGGTAGCACAATGATTGGGTTCAGGGATTCAGGGGGTAAGTGGGTCGGAAGGAGGTTCAAAAGATTGAAGAGAACTACGTATGGGTAAGGATGGGTCTTGGGCAGGTCAGATCCTAAAAATGAAATGTCTAAAAATATGTTTTTTAAATTTGCCCAACATTGGAGGGGGGCAGTTGCCCCCCTTGCCTCCCCTGTGAATCTCGCCTTTGGTGTAGAGCATAATACGCAGAAATAAATTTCAGAAGTGCTTATTTCAAAAAACTTTGAATTTTTTGAAAAGAATTTTCAAAAATTAAAGATATGTTTGTTTTTCGAATCTCCCAGGCGCTGTTTCGTCACGAGTCTTTCAAAAGAAATATTATATTGGTATGATAGGACTGGCAGTTTCACATTACGTATCTTTACAATCAATACGACAATGTGCAATGTAGCACTTGTTCTTTTCTGCGAATAATAATTCGGAGGATAGAGGATCACATTATCTTTCAAATGTGGGTAAGTAAAGAGGTAATTTAACTCGCTTAGGGATGTGCAACATTTTCTAATTACAAATTAAACTTTGTGATCAAATTCATTATTGTGAAGAGTAAAATACACCGAAACATAAAATCGTATTTCAATAAATGCTAAGGTAACTAAACGAAAACGAAAAATTCTGAAAAAGTGCTTTCCTTCTCATTAAAATAAAATCGATGTACTTTCACAGTTTTTCGAATATCTTGTTCTCGGGCTTAACAATTATTAATGACACAGTGATTTTCTCCTGGAAAAATAGTTCCCAGCAATAATCCCTAATGCAGAGTATGTATGAACATTTATATAAAATTAACAAACAAATCTCTGTAAAGAGTAGAGTATTTTCGATGCAACTGAATTAAACTACTTCCACCATTGAGCCCCTGTGTTTGTAACGTCAGCGCATTACGGCTGTTGGTAGAGAAAATTTGGAAATTCATGGTCTTTTTGGATAGTTGAGGAGTGATTGATTATTTCCAAGTTTAGGATTTCGGAAAGTTACTTTTCATGTACATCAGTATTGTACAAATTATTATACATATTGCCGTAGATTTCAAAATCTGCAGCAAACTGGAAAATAATGAAATAAAAACGGTTTGCCGCGCTTTAGCAGTCTCAGTTCGATGGGTTGCGAGTTCGTATCCCGCCTCGACCATGGACGTTTACTGTGTGTATGTGTTGTGGAAATGTGTAGCTCTATCACCCACAGTCTAGTATCACCCTTGGTGGAAATAATGGTGTTATTTCCCATAGCGTCATTGCCACCTTGATATCACCTTTCAACCCGTTCCCTTCCAATCCTGCCCGGCCTGGGTGCCGCAGGGAGTTGAAATGTTTGCGCCTGTACGCTTCACATCCGCGCTGCATGTTCAAATCCCACGTAAGGCATCTCCGAAGTCTGTAGTGATAGTGTGCCTTCCTAGCACACTACGTTTCAACCTTGAACCTCAAATCCTTGCATTAGTTCCTTTCCCTATCCGGTAAGTAGTGAGCGTGCGTGTAAGACCAGGTGACCATGTACGTGCTTTCTGCTGTGTGCATAGCCGACTTTGAAGGCGCGCGTGTACGAGATAGCGCGCGCTCTGTATTGAAGTACACGGAGCAGCGAGGCACTACGCGCTCCATCGAACATCTAGCTATGACAGGGATGCCCGACTGGGGAATTTTGTCCCCAAAATGGGGATTTTGTTTCTTTGTGGCGAAAGAGTGGGGGACATAAATGGACGGGAAAATGTTTGGGGATTTTTTGGAGAAATTATTTTCACCCGGAGTCCTATTCTGTCAATTATTAATATAAAAGAAACAATAGACATCATTCTCTCTATTTTTTATGAATCGAAAAGGAAAAAATAGTGAAAGAAAACCACAAGAAAAACAAAGATAATATAAGACTTCGAGCAGCTCGATGATTGGTTGATTTGAATTATTTGAACTTAGGGGATAGCCAATGGAATAGCCAAGGATAGCTCAAGCGGTTTCCCATAATTTGAAGAATATTTTTCTTTAAAAGATGGGGAATTTTGTTTCATTGGAGAGGTTATTTGGGGAAATTTCATAGTAGTGTCGGGTTAGTTGGTTGGTTGTTAGTGATTCCGGGCGCATCAACTACCGAGGACATGAGTCTCGCAAGTATAGAGCATGTTTGTGAGGTGATCTTCCCCCCCTGGATGGCGAGTTCTGGCGCCGACCTACCGATATACCGGCGAATTGTGGGGTTTCCCCAACCTGGTATCTCTCACCAGCGGGGCACCGGTCTCGCGGTATGTGTGGTAGTGTAGTGCATGTATAAGAGTGTGAGGATAGGACTAGGAAGAGCAAGGAAAATTTGCAAGAAACCATGGAAAACTACTGATCAGAGCAGCCGGCCTCTATAATTCTCCTCCAGACAGCCACCTAGCTGTCAAGCTAGTGGCAAAAAATCATGCCATTACCGGGACTCGAACCTAGGACCTCCCGGCAAGAGACATTGCAGTAACATCAGTTGTTACACTCAACCATATCTTCCGGTAGTAGTGGTGGGGAAAGAGCTCGCACCACATCTGGCAACCCTGAGCTACAAGAGCGAGTCAGGGGCAGTGTCGGCCACCGATATGTTATAAGCGGACTGGCACTCGGAAAAAATGAATAGTTTGTGACTGAGTTGTCCACGCCGAGTGTTACGTTATTCCCATTGGATACTAAATGTTGATCGAGCTACGAAATGGTACAACTTCAGCTGACACGGAATAAAGCTGCGAACATGTTTTTTTCTTACTGGCGAGTAGAACTCCTGGCATATTTATTATATAATTTGAAAGTGACTTTTTGATTCCAACGCTTGTAAAACAATAAACTGTTTATATAGAAACTTCTGCCTCCTTACTTATTGATACATGTCACTTTCGGATAGTAGCGCCAGCACCTTCTAGTTTTGGCCGGACTCCCTACCTCAAATACAGGATTGAGCGCGATAGGCTCGCGAGCTAAGATTAGGAAGTTATTGCGCGCTTTAGCGGCCAGCAATCGACTGCATTTATCCATTACACAGTATACATCGATCTGGACTCCTGTGCCATTTCTGCTCGATGAATGAGGAGACTGTTAGGTACCCGTGTGGTTGTACCCGGAGGAAATAGTCTTCGCCTTGGACAAAGAATGCACCGCAAAGTGGACAGTTGTAAAAGAATCAATTTGTTCCATAAAGCATGTGCAATCAAATTTCGAGTCACAATTTGAAACAGGTTTCCTTTTTGCACCACGAACAGTAAATCAAGGCGAATCTGTGAGATAATAAAGGCGAAAAAATACTTACGCCCCAATAATTAAAAATATCGTTTAAAGAATGAAACCTAGTCTGATTATTTGAATTAAATTGTTTACAAATTTATTTCCGCCGATTACCATCATCTGCCACTGCATATATAAGGTATTTGGGGTCTCGGCAAATAAGGCATTGTTAAATAAGGAAAATATCATACACAATCTGAAATCTTCAACTCTTAAAAGGAAAATGATGCCTCAGGAATGCAGAAAGAACATTTTATTCATGGTATTTCCCGAGCGCTTTCTCTCAAATACATAACTTTATTTTTAAAGAAAATTTCTTTGTTTTGTTTAGTGTCAAACTCGCCAAGACGCCTATGTTGCATGGCACGGCCACCTTGCGTACGTAAATGGCGACAATCAGGCGGTCACTTTCAAGATGGCCGTGGTTATAGTTGGTTTGTATTGTGCATTAAAGAATGGAAGCACATTCGAATTCAGTATATGAGATATATTATTTAGACTCGTATGATGAGACGCACGTTCTGGATGATGTCTTTAAAGAAGCAGAATTTGCAGTGTCGAAATTATTGCCTGAAAAATCGAATCCAAAAATTCAATGCCAATCTCGTTTATGAGAAACAATATAAAAATTTCTGCAGATGGAGGAATGACAAGGAAGTGAGAGGTCTTTCGGAAAAAAAATTATTCGCTTATTTCAATAATCAATGAATATACTACAAGTCTTCATCGCCTTGGAGCTACTTTTCTATGCGGAAAGCAATTTTACGTGTTAAGGGAAACGTTTTCTCCAAGTACGAACATATTTGCCTTGGGGAAAATTGTTGACGCTGTTATCAGCGATCATAAAAGACCTACTTTATCACAGGAAAAAGTGTTATTACAGACTCATTTTAACCACGTTAAAATGAATATAATATAAGGCATTTTAAACATTTTTTATTTCACCATCGTAGAATTCACGAACATGATGTAGAATTAGGAAATGTAGTTCACGGGATTTGGTCGGAGTGAATAAAAAACTAACCATTTAAATATCCATAATTCTTTAGTAAGATGTGTTTATCTTGTATCATTTTACATATTATGTTAATAATTTGTGTAATTCTATATTCATATTGATGTATTGATGCTTTTTACACCAGCTCTTAAGAGGGAATCCAAATATTCCCTAACGTCGGCAAACTAATGGTTTCATTTTCTATTCACTACGACCATATCCCGTGAACTACATTTCTTAATGTTTTTTTAGTGTTTGTAACAATTTCATGATTTTACCTGTATATGGTGATCCCTGTAAATTCAATAGAGTAGCGATATATTTGTTACTGTAAGGCAACATGAAAGTACGTAAACACGTGAAATGTAACAACGTAAAAAGAGACTTACCACCATGATTTTCTCCCAATGTGTGATCAAATGATGGACCGGTTCCAAGGATACCTGAGGGTGTTGAATTACTATGATGTATCCAGGTGAAATTTGATGTATTTTGAGTCCATCCACAAATATCTTCTTTTTCAAAGTCGCATGAAGTGTGAATTTCTTTATTGTTGGGTAAAGAAATCACAATAAAATGTTACAAAAATACAAGGCACAAATAATGTATGCCACTCTATCCCAAACCAATTTAACCTACCATCACAGAAGGGAATAGAATCACTCCACCGTTGATTATGACAATAAATTACTCTTGTTCCACGCAATTTAAATCCATCATTGCATATCAATGTATAACTGGCACCCTTGTAATTTTGAATCCAGTATCCATTTCTAGCAGTTTCCAGAAACGGAGGGCAATCATTTCCTGAAACAAAACTGTCCTTAATTTTTCTCACGACAATAAATTATATTCTGCATGGTGATTATTGATATTCAGATCAAGAAAAGCATTTGTGAACAGAGAATTAAATGGCTTTTCATGCTGAAGCAAACGGTTGTACTACGTAAAAAAATACTCAGACTTGTTCATGAAAAGAAATGTAATAGAGATGTTACAAGTATTTTTTAATGTAATAATAATGGATATAGTAAATAAGTTAGTTTATTTAATTATATTAAATATTTCAGGAATTAGGCAAAGTTTATTATTCGTCTGTTTAATAGACACATACCTGATATTCCTTCTTGAATTAATGTGAAGTTGTGCCGGCTAACGATATCGTAGTAGCGAAATGAATTTTACTTAAGATTTTAAATAAATAATAGTAGGTCCGAAAAGAATATAGATCTTAATACGAAATGTTAATATTTTATTGTGAGTAGTAATAATAGAATTAATCCGAGGATAATTTCCATGGAGAGTTTGAGCCAAATATGGGGGTGCTGGCCCCTTGCCTCAACGGCCTCCCAAGAGGACCGAGTAATTTTCTTTTAGGGTTTTCTTCTCTTAGACTGAGTGTCTTTCAGGACTCCAAAGTTCAATCTATTCCTATTTGAAGCACTTCTGCTTCAGAACAGGAAAAAAGGAATGGGAAGGATACACGTAAGGTTAGGAAACGGAAGCATCCGAGCTACTCAATTACTCCCAATCACCTATTGGCTTCGGGGTTCAGGAAAGGATTGTAGGTAAGAAGGATATCTTTCAAATACGGTCAGCGGTCAGCGGTCAGCCCCTCCTTTCTAGGTGGGAGAAACAGGCTAATTGCTGTATTCCCCACCCACCGGGAAGGGCGTACAGGCCGATGTGGTCACTACATCCCTACGCCACGTGCGTAGTGATGGTAGAGACAAACAGGATGTGAAACAAAAGGACGGTAAAGATGAACAGGAACAAGGAAAAATAGCCACAAGACAATTGAATCCAGTACTGTGGAACATGATTATTTCAATGGAGACAAAGAAACACATACATATCTCCTTCATAGAGAATACAATACCTAGACACCTACAGCCTAGACACTAACAAAAAAATATGAAGACGAACTTCAAGCAACAGAAATGGTGTTCGGAATGTTGTAAATTTCTCTATATAAAAATAAAAAAATTAAAAATGACGAAATAAGTAATAAAATGAAAGTGCAAACAACCTTGAACGAGACGATCGAAATGGAACCACTAAAATGGTATGGACATATGAGAAGGTTGAAATCGAATAGACTTCCACAAAAAGTTTGGGAATGGAAACCCAATCGAAGAAGATACATAGAAATAGCTGAAGCCATGGAAAGAAGAGAAATGGAGGAAAAAGTCGTATGGGATAAAGAGGAATGGAAATTGGGACGCGAAAAGCAACAAAGGCCATAAAAAAACCTCTAAATAGATAGATAATAATAGATATTAATGTTCTAAATTTGGTTAGTGTTAAAAGGGAATAACAAGGTTCATTTTGACTATGATGAATGGAGATGAAGGATTTGACTGGAGATGCCTGGTTATCTGATGGAGAAAAGTTAAAGATACTTTAAGGATAACAGTGTAATTTTAATGGAGACTTCATATTGATAATAACGATTGCGGCTTCAATATTGGATTAAGAATGTTTGATTTAGGTGGAGACTTGTTGGTCTGTTCGACCATTTAATATCTTACATGATCTTAAAGCTCAGACTAGTGTAAGCCAGGTTGATTGATTGATTGATTTGTAGTGATTCTGGGCGCGTCCACTTCTAGTGGCATTAGTCCCAAAAGTGTAGTGCATGTTTTCGCTCGGGAAGTAGTGATGGTGGCGGTGATCTTCCCCCGCTACACTTATGGCGAGATCCGGCGCCGACCTACAGTCGGCTAGTATGGTTTTTCACAACCAGATATCTCTCACCAGCGGGGCACCGCCTTAGCAGGAACAAGCTCTAAGCTCTCGACTGGACTCGCGGCTTATGTGCATATTAGTGTAAATATGTGTAAAGGTGTGGACAGGACAAAGAAGAGGTAGAAAAGATTCCGCGCGGTCCATGGCCCGTTTGTTAGGGTACTGCTCCGGCATTCGCCTGGTGTTGATCAGAGAAACCACGGAAAACTACCGATCAGAGCAGCTTACCCCTAGAATTCTCGTGCAGACTGCGATTGAATTCAACCTAGCTGACAAGCTATGATCGAAAATCCTATCACTGTCAGAACTCTAACCTATATCCTCCCGATCAGCGGGACCGCACGAGTTGATGCCCTGAGCCACCTCTCCCGGTGCCCGGTGGGTCTTTACCTCCATTTAGCATCATATGTATTTTAGTATGAAAGGATTAAATTCATTACATAATTTATGGTTCAAAAATATGTTAACGACTATATTGGCAGAAAATGCAATGAATTTTGGATTATAATTAAATATAGTAATATAACATATCTGTCGGTACTTGGCGCGACAGCCCGCGAACGGGCCAAGGCCTACCAGCAGCGTCCTGGCCTGGCGGCCATGGAGATAACGGGTATTCGTACGAGTGGCTAGCACGAAGACATCCCTAGGTACTCCCATCCCCATTGTATTCTAGTCCTCTTAACCAGTGAAATGAGTTTCGCATCGTCAACATATACTGTGATAGTGCAAGGAAACCGCATACTGTAATTGTACCCGACCGGGAATCGAACACGGGGTCGCGTCATAGAAAGCGAGCACACTGACCAATGAGCTATATTACGAGTGTAATGTGTATTGTTAAATTATACAGTGGACTTGATTTATCATGTGATTTTTGTATTGATTGGAATAGCTTTTTACTTTTTTGACTTAGTTTGGTTTTAGGAAGGTTGGACTTTTGGGAATTCCTCAGCTTTGTGCTGATGCTATTAAGTTTTCTACGTACGTAACAAACGTGTCCAAAGCCGGCGTGGATAGCCGAGGTCGCTAAGGCTGAAGAGTCTTAGCTGCCTCGGCTCGAAGGGTCGAGGGTGCGAATCCCGCCTTGGGTCTGGATGCTTGTGTGTGTTCGTGTCGCTCTTATGGTCTGTTGTTCTTCCTACAGTTCCCACTACAGTTTAAGCAAACACAGTGGCCGTTATATGACCAAGTTCTTAAAAAGCGACCTTAAAATCGTGTCCAATAATATCTTATTATTTAATATACGTTTTGTCCTGCAAACAAATTATTATCATTATCCATTTTTTAATTTGATTAATTTATCCTTTGGGATGTGAATTTGATCTTGATTTTTTTGATTTGGCGTTGTTTTTTTTTCATGTACGGGAACAGGTATACATTCATTAATATTGGCTGATTGATCTTCTAAATCAATTACGCTTTATTTCCAGGCTTGCGAGCTTGCGTTTAGAGAAAAGTACTTTAAATTTACTTCAACATGTCAATAGAAAGAGCCCATTATGAAGATCCTAGAATAGTGGATTTGTTTGCAGGAGACATGCAATGTCCTAAAGTTACAAAGTTGGAAGACTTGGTATTAGTGGTGGTTTATATTTAACGGAACACATTCCAATTATTTTGAACAGTTTGCATTTGAAACAGATTGGAGTCACTGTCAAGCAATCAGTATCTAGCAATGCTTGTGACGGACCTTAAGATCCAGCTATATAAAAATCGCACTACATTATTTTTCTTACTTGAATATTGATAAACTTATACAACAATGAACTCAGGAATTTTTATTGAAGATTTATTTTTTTCAATTGTGACGTCATGGATACTCACAGCGACCACAGACACAGAGCTTTCATATAACAAATATATTTATTAACAAGAAAACAAAACAAATATATACACTTAATATCTTACTTACACCCTAGCTCTGATAGACCTACTATGCCCTGATCGCGGGAGCGATCCTAACCCGATTGAAGATGGTTTTGATTGTGGCATTCGCCACTCCTACTTTTGAAGCGCGCACAAAGCCTAGCTTCCGTAACCGGATGTCACGCTGGGACACAAAGTCCGTTCTGGCGCACCAACGGCTGGTTTGCCTCGATCGCAGGAGCGATCTTATCCGATTGAGAATCGGCGTGAATCGTGGCACTCAACCACTCTTCACCTCGGAGCACGCACACAGCATCGCTCCCCCGTGACCGCAGTCACCCAAGGACATAAAGTCCGCAGGTTTCGTCAACTAGTGACTCCAGCCTCGCGAGCCTGGCTCGCATATGCACCGTCGTGGCGCCAATTTTTGTGCACACGCACGAGGTTCTCCCGCTGTCTCCAGAACCCACCCACTGGCTCTGTACACTCTGTTATATAGGCGAGGCCCACGTGACCTACTACGTCACGCCACCCCCTCGCTTGTTATAACAGTGAAAAGCTTCTATAAGCCGGAAACTCCCAAAGCTTTGTGTCTCCCGTTTCCGCGTTCTTCCCTTTACGGAAAAACCCTACTTCCTGTGACTAGGCTAATCCTCTTCCAAGCGTCCCCAAATAGATGCCATGAGGCACGCTGGCTAATACGTTACACAATATTGCAGCACTTTTTACTACATTTTGGACATTGTATGTCTTCTATGGATAATAAAATTTGCCTTTTGGAAACTTAAAAACATGGCTTTCTAATGATATAGATTTAAAAGAATTTCTAGAAGGTACTTTTTCTGCAAAAGTGGGCTGAAAATGCCTTATTTGGGGCTTTATTGTTAAAACAGTCTATTTTAAACTTCATTTACGAAGACATGGTAAGAGAGAGGAGGTTTAAATTACTCTTTCAGAAACAGTGTAATAATATGTTGAGACATGCTTCACTTTTTTGACTCAAATATCTAGGAAGCTATTCAATGTTAAATTTCGATTTTTAACTTTGTTTTTATTCGGCGAGTTTGCTGCAATGTACCCACTGTATGTTAAATTGGTACGTTAAAATGTTAAAATAAAGGCAAAATTGGTATTAGCTGCATTAAAGATAGTTAAAAAAATTGTACAAGTAAACCCAGTTTCATTCCTTT